AGAAGAGAGAGAGGTAGAGGGAAAGTGAGAAATCACCTCCAGGGGGGATGGCCATGCTGCAATCCCTCCTCCTCCACTCTCCCCTCAGGATTTTGGGCATGCACACACACGTGTCTGGCATGATTCTCAAACCGCTGGGTTCGAGATTCAAACGATAGTTGGCCATGTGGGAATCCAGTGCCCCAGTAACCATGGCACCTACTGACTCCCTAAATAAAAAGTTTTTAAAAAGGTAAGGAAAAAAAATGATCACTTACTAAATAGGAAAGAATTACAATTGTGTATTTGAAACTTTGAAAAGTAGTAGGCAAGACCAGGAACATAATGAGACCCCTTACCTCACCTAACCAACTCCTTCCCCTAAAACCAAAGTTGGAAAAAGAAAATGAATTAATGAAATGTTCAGAATTTTAATATGCTTTAATCTGTAGAAAAACAGATGGGAGAGAGGAGGAAAGAAAAGAACATAGTAAGCAACACACATAAGCCAAAACATCTATTTTGAAAGAAAACTTAATGAAATTCTGCAATACAAAATAACAATGCAAGTTTAATAAAAGAGATCAACTGTGATAATCAAATACAGAATGAAATGTGAAATGAAACTGCGGAGCTAAGGAAACCAACCGCGTATAAACACAGACTTAATTGATAATCAGAAACAGAAGGGAACTGAGCAGTATCAGACCAAGTAATTGGCAGAAGTATAACAGCAGAACAGAAAGGAAATATTGTAAACCCTCACACAAAGTTCAATCTGCAAGAGAAGGAACGGGGAAAGGGAAGCAAGGAGGAGGGATAAAAAGTCCCAACTCCTCCATCTCTCACGGCAAGGCGTTAGTTAGGGCTACTGACAACTGAAATATAACACGGATAAAGAGAAACAAGAAAATGTGACTGCAGTTTCTGATTTTTTTATAACTATTTTTCTTAGAGTGATTTTTTTTTTAGTAACTGCTTTTTTTTTGGTTAAAAGAATTATTTTATTTATATTTATTTATTTATTTTAATTTGACCAGAGAGGGACAGAGTGAGAGAGAGAGAGAAAGCAAGTTGCCAGGTCCGGGACTTGAACCGTGGTCAGTCATGTGGGAGTCCTGTGCCCTTAACCACCACGCAACCTGCTGGCTCTACAACTGCTATCTTTTATATTAAAAAATACTTGTTTTACTATTTTGCCTTTAATTTTAAACTTTTGTTTCTTCAAATTCAAATAAAATTAAAAATTAATACTTAAAAAAAAAAAAAAAGAGGAAACAAACTGTCCTACGGTTTGAAGGCGTACCCCCCAGATTCATGTGTTGAGATTTGGCTGTACTGAGATTAAGGGAATAAAATGTAATCTTGCTATGGTACTGAAAGGTCTGGGAGGGAAGCAGGATTAAGAGCATCAGAACAGAACCTCCATGACTAACTCCCTGGGGGAGGAGAACGAGACCAGGACAGAGACCAGGGAGAAGATACATCCCCCTGGGGGGTGATTTCTCACTTTGCCTCTCACTGTCTCTGTCTCTCTCCAGCAAGTGCACATGCCCTGTATCAAAAACCTTTTAAAAAAAATTCTCTCTCGACATCCTACTATAATACTCCAGAAACATACTTTGGCCCAGTATTCACTGCAAGTGAAAAACGGTATGAAAAAGTGCTGGCTTACATCTCAGGAGGACTTGGTTTAAGTTGTCTCGCATCGTTTCTTTACATTTGGGAAGAGTATGTTCATTTGTTTCACAGATCATATTCTTCAAATTTTCAAGAACTCGCATTTCTCGAAGACCACGTTTTTCCTATTAAAAGAAAACAAATAACTGGTACATACTGTGTCTTAAATATTAGCAATTACTTTCTGGGATTTCCATTCTGGTTTGGGTTGTCATTACTTATTGAAATTTACGAAATTTGCACAGCCTTATTATCTGGCAATAAATGAGGTCATAACCCGGAGGCATTTAAAAAATTTGGAATGCTCCTCAAGTTACAATATGAGTAATATTTTAATATAGTATCTAAAAATGGGCAAGAGAGGAATCAACAGTTGGCGTAATGGCTAAGTCGCTGGACTCCATGTAGCCGACTGTGGTTCAAGTAATGGACCTGGAGCCTTAAACTCCCGCCAGGCACGAGTGCGTGCGTGTCCAAGATCCTGAGAGGAGAATGGAGAAGAAGGGATTGTGGAGAGGAGAAAAGAGGAGAAGAGACTGTGGTGTGGCCATCCCCCTCAGGGGGATGGGGGGTGATTTCTTGCTTTTTATCTCTGTCTCTTTCTGGTGAGTACATCAGTCCCATAGCAAAAACCTCTCAAAAAAAATAAAAAAGGAAAAAATGGTTAAGAGAAATACTAAAAGAACAAACAAACAAACAAAAAAAACCCCTGGACTGTTACATATTTCATTAGAAGAAATTAGATACCTTTTATCTGATTTTAAATTTCATTTTGTTGTTCTTACTTTCACATAGCTTCTATTGTAGTATTATAAAGTGTGTTTTTTATCTGATTCCTTTCAATCCCTCAAAATAAAAATGTGTGGAAAAAGTGATGATATGTAGATACTTCCCCGTGTAGGAAAGAATTACCTTTGGGGGACAGCAGGTGACATAGCAGGTAAGGTGCTAGAGTCTCACATGATCAACTGGGGCTTGAGTCCTGAACTCAAACTCACACCAAACATATGTGTGTGCATACCCCAAAACCCAAGAGGCAAAAAGAGAAGATGGGAATGAGGTATGGGTAGGGATACCCTCAGGGGGTGATTTCTCACTTTCACTCTCACTGTCTCTTACTCTCTCTAGCAAGTATACATGTCCTGTGGCAAAAACAAGACAAGTCAAAACAAACAAACAAAAAACACCACTGAAGGCCTAAGATTGCTACATTAGAAAGGCTGCTGGGAATTTGAGCAGTAAACAGTTTCCTATGCTAGTATAAAAGTTTCTGTAAATTGGGAACTAGCTGTTAGCATAATGGTTATGTCGCTGGACTCCCACGTAGTCGACCGCAGTTCGAGTTCCGGACCCGGTGGCTTAAAACTCACACTGGGCGCATGTGCATGCGTGCCCAAGATCCCGAGAGGAGAATGGAGGAGAGGGGATTGAGACGTGACCACCTCCCCTGGGGTGATTTCTCGCTTTCTGTCTCTATGTCTCTGTCTGGCGAGTGCACGCGCCCTATAGCAAAAAAAAAAAAAAAAACAGAAAAAAACAACTCTTCAAAAAAAAAAAAATTTCTGCGAATTACACAAGTGGTTCATTGTGCTTAAACTGTAAATAACGTGGTTAGGGCCAGCAGGGTGGTGCAATGGTTAAAGTGTGGACTCCCACATGGCCAACCGTAGTTCGAATCCCAGACCCAGAGGCTTGAAACTCACACTGGGTACGTGTGCATGCATAATGCCCAAAATCCTAGGAGAATGGAGAAGGGACTGTGGCATGGCCATCCTCCATGGGGGATGATTTTTCACTCTCTCTCTGTCGGGTGAGTGCATACGCCCTATAGAAAAAATCCTCTCTTAAAAAAACAAAAACAAAATTAAAAAAATCAATGTGGTTAATGGTAGACAACCTTTTCCCTTCTTGGAGTCTGGAATTTTGGTCCATGTGAGGCAGAGAGTCCCTCCTTACCAGCTCCTGGTGAAAAACTCTGGATTCCTAGGCTTAGACAAGCTTCCCTCTACATTACACTTCACATGTGTTTCACGATTTATTGCTGGGAGAATTAATCCTGTGTGACTCTCCTGGGGGAGGACTTTTGAAAGCTTCTGTCTGGTCTCTTCCAGATCTCTCCAAGTACCTTTCCCTTTGCTGATTTTGCTCTGTATCCTGCCATAGCAGAGCTCATCCACGAGGATGACCATATATTGAGTCCTGTGAGGTCCAGTGAGTTATTGAATGTAGGGTGATCTTGAGAATTTCCGAGATATCCCCCATCCAGAAAGTAGCACCTAAACACCCTTTCCATCCTATTTGGGAGTGGGTAGACTCAGGGACTTTCAAAGAAGAACAAGGAAAGACAGTATTAGCTCTGCAGTACAGAAACCTAACAGCAAACACTAACTCAACCAAGCACTGAAGGTTCAGAGCAACGGAGTGGTGTCATGTTGGGAGCATGTACCCTCTGACATAATGTGAGGACAAGGGCGCTTCCACTCTGTGACAGTCTTCCCCTAAACCCATAATCCCAGTCTAAGCTGGAGAAAACAATCACTCAAACCCAGAATTGGGGACCTTCTACAGTACACCTGGCCAGTAATCAAGACTATCAAGGTCAGGAAAAACACAGACAGACTGAGAAACTGTCACAGACCAAAGGAGACCAAGGAGACATGATCATTAAATGCAATGTCGTACCACGGATTACATCCTGGAAGACAAAAAGACAGTAAAAGGAAAACTGGTGAAATTTACGTAAACCTGGGGTTTTGCGAATAGTAATGTACTAATGATGGTTTCCTAGTTTTTACAAGTGTGGCATGGTAATATAAGATATTAATGATGGGTGTAATTTGGTGAGGGTTTATGGGAGCTCTGTAAACCTTTGCAAACCTTCTGCAAATCTAAAATTAATACAAAAAACAGAAGTGTATTATAAAAGGAAGAGTGGTAACTTGATTGTAAGAAAACAAATGTATTACTAGGTTTCTGTTTTGAGCCATTCTTATGCAGCAGCTGTGGCCAGTTTCTTCCATCTTCTCATTTTTTTTTCCTTAATAAAAAATTTTAAATATACAAAAGTCAAGAAGAATATAATGAATTCTCATGTATTTATCAAGTTTCAACAATTCTCAACTGATGACTGGTTTTGTTCCCTCCAGAACACTCCATTCATCCTGCCTTGGTTATTTTGAAGTAAATATTAGATTTTCTACTGTGAATATTTCAATATATGTCTTTTTTCCTTTTTGGAGAGATTTTTTGCTATAGCGCCCATCAGAGAGACAGAAAACAAGAAATCACCCCCCAGGGGGGTTAGCCATGCTGCAATCCCTTCTCCTCCCGTCTTCTCTAGGGATTTTGGGTATGCACACACACATGCCCAGCGTGAGTTTCAAGCCGCCAGGTCCGGGACTCTAACCATGGTTGACTATATGGGAGTCCAGCGATGTAACCGCTATGCCATCTGCTCGTCCCTCAATATATTTATCTTTAAAAAAGACTCCTCTTAAAGAGACAGAGAGACAGACAAATGCTCCCAACAGAGTTTGCACAATGATCCACCCAGGATCAAGTGCATGGGCCCAGCATAATAGGGAGATCTTGGGACACAAGATCTTGGGACATTCCCATGTGGCCTCAGCACCATGGAGCACTGAGGTACTACTGTGCCAACAGAAATTCTGTAATACTATTAAATATCAAGGTAGTGTTCACATTCCCTCAAGTGTCCTATAATTGCTTTTGTTTTTTTTATCCTTTGTTTGCTTGGACCAAAAATCTAAATAAGATTCATAGTCTGACATTATTAGTTAACATGTTCTTAAAGTTCTTTTTAATCAATAGATTTTCCCCACTATCACTTCTTTTTTCCTTGCAATTTGTTAAAAAAAAAAAAAAAAAAAGAGTCATTTGTTCTGCATAGTTTCCCACAGTCTGTTTTTTACCTAACGAATCCCTGTGGTGTAATTTAACATACTCCTTTGTCTCTTTTCTTTCCTGTACACTGGTAGCTGGAACTAAAGGCTTTCTCAGATTCAGGGTTTTGTTTTGTGTTTGCCAGAATTTTTTTAGAGGTGAGCTGTGTACTCTCAACAGGATGTTGGTAGCACCTGTCATCATGTATTAGCAGGAAGACCTCTATGAAGTGAAACTGCCCTCCATCAATGATTTGGTCACTCTGAGGAGTATTTCTATAAGAAAGGCAAAATGCAACTCTACTTCCCCTTTTCTGCTGGTTTAAAAATAAGTTAGTTCCCTAGTATTCCCTAAAGATGACTAGAGAGTGTTTGTACATATCCCTACCACTCAAAGATTTAAACACATTTGTAGTTTCTCAATCTATTACTATTTCTCCTCATCAGTATTTAGACTGCCCTAGTTTTTTCCAATGGTAGTTTATTCAAGTTGGCTCTGGAATGAATGCTTCAGAGAACACTCTACTACTCCTTAGCAGCTTCTTTGCTTGTCAGTATGACCCACTGCTCCAGACGGGTACTGTAAATCTCCTGCTCTGGACTTGGAATCAGTAGATTGCTAACCACTGGGATGTAGAAATGGAAATCAGAGGCTGGGCACAAAGGCTACTCACTGCTACTAGCTGGTCATTGTCTCTAGTCTCTCAGTGGACAAGGCTGGAAAATACATATTTTTAGAAAAGAAAAACACATCTTGAGTTGATACCAGTAGTTAAACAAATGCAGGACCACGGAAGTGTTTTTTTTTTCCTTCTTCCATGGGCAAAAAAGACAGATGAGAAAGAACCCTCAACAGGGTCTGGATACTGCAATTCACCCCATCTTCAGCTAGCCCCAGACTATGGGCAAGAATACTGTCACACTCAGGGAGCTCCCCAGACTTGAACCATAAATCCCTATGTGGATTACCTCATAGAGTAATGTGGGATGGCCACACTGCAATCCCTTCTCTTTTCCTCTCAAGATTTTGGGCACACACGCACATGCACTCAATGTGATTATCAAGCCACCAGGTCCAGGACTTGAACCATGCAGTTGGCCAAGTGGGATCCAGCACCTTAACCTCCACTTTCACACCATCTGCTGGCTCAACAACTTTATTTTTAACTTAACTTTAATTGATTTAATTATTGTACCTATTTATGGGTGCAGTGGTTTTTTTTGTTTGTTTGTTTGTTTTTTTTTGTTTTTTTTTTTAGTACATGAATACAATGTGCAATGATTAAATCAGGGTTATTAATTAGAATATCTATCAACATTCATCATTACTTGTGTTGGAAATATTTAAAATCCTTTCTTTTAGCTATAATAAATTACAGTCAATTATAGGTACCCTACTGGTTGAGAACACTAGAGTTATTCCTCTCATCTAACTGTACTTTTGTATCCATTAACCAACATCTTCTTCTCCCACACCCTTACCAAATGCTAGTAACCACTGCTCTACTCTGTAAGGTGTACTTCTGTAAGGTGAACTTAGTTTTCACATATGAGCGATAAGATGTGACTTTTCTCTCTGTGGGCCTGGGTTATTTCACTTAACCTAGTGTTCTCTAGGCTCACCCACATTGCCTCAAATGACAAGATTTCAGTTTTACTGTCTGACTAGTATTCGATTACATACACACACACACACACACACACACACACACACACACACCACATTTTTCTTTATCCACTTGTCTATAATAAACACTTAAGTTGATTCCTTATTTTGGCATTATGAATAGAACTGCAATAAACATTGGAGTGCAGATATCTCTACTGACATTGATATATGCCTAGAAGGGGTATTGCTGGATCATGTAGCAGTTCTATGTTCAGTCTTCTGACGAACCTCCATATTGTTTTCCACAATGGCTATATTACTTTACATTCTCATAGTGTACAAAGGCCCCCTTTCTCCAAATCCCTGATAGCATTTATTTGATTTCTTTCTTTTTTTTTTTTTTTTTTTTTTTGGAGAGATTTTCACTGTAGGGCGCATGCGCTCACCAGACAGACAGAGAGAGACATAGAGACAGCTTGCTTCTGCTGAATCAGTAACCCAAATACTGCAAAGATTGAGGCCTACACATAAGGAATGAATTGGGGTTAAGAAAAGAAACATGCACAATAGTTTTAGATCAAATTTGTTCACTCATTTATGCCAGCAAGTCCGAAACTGCTAACATCTTTAACCAACTGATTAAATTTCCATGAGCCAAATCTTAAGACATTTCATGAATAATGACCTTTCAGTCAATAGAGCATAAGGATTTCAACTTTTTATAAAGGAAGTTTTACTAGAGGATTAAAATGCTCACTTATAGTCTTTCTTAGCTCAACACTGGGATTTGTCCATTTTTGTCATGTGGGAGGGGAGCTTACTAGTACTCATAGAATTTCTCCTTTCAGGAATTCTGCAAATAAACTATTGAATTTATATGACTACAGATAGATAAAAAATTCTGATGATTGCTTTTAAGTTATCCAATTTAGATTGCCCAATTACAAAATCATTAATTTGAAAGGTTATGGCTTCGGGAAAACTTTCAATTTAATTTGGAA